ATTAATTATTTGTTTCTGTTAGTTTGTTTTGTTACTATATCAAATAAAGTTAGCTCACAGGATATATGATCTTTTTTTTTATTAACTTTTATTACATTTATTATATGTATACCTCTGAGAAGGTAGTTTTTGGGGTACTACCTAAATCTCCGGTAAAGTAATCCCCTCAAATTTTACAACTAGATATACAATTTACTTTCTATCTTTAAGAATTTTCAGTGGTCTGTATTTTAAAAGGTTCTTTTATTTTAGATGATAAGTGATGTACCAAATTAAAAAAAGTAACCTCAGATTTACATTCCGAAGCTGATAAAGTACCTACTAAAAGAAAACAGGTGCCAACTAGAAAGCTGTCATTCGATGATACTGAACATGATGAAATCGTAAAGCATGCTCGCCCACCCCCAATTAAAATTAAATCTACAATTTTAGGTATGTTGTGTCAGTTCCTCTAATATTCTTTTGTCATTTTATTTCTTTTGGTTTCTTGCTCAGGACTTTTTTATTTACCAGTGTAATTTATTTTTTATAATATATTTTTCATGTGTTTTTTGGATTAAATAAATAACTTTCATCTGCTTAGTATTTTTAGTAATTCCATCCAACCTTGGGACACCCAATATAGACGTTACTTTGACGTTAGGTAGATTCGTGATAATGACGTCATTTTGCCTAGCCTAGGACACCCGATATACACGTTACTTTAACGTGATATCGATTCGTCAAAATGACGATATGAAATGGTCATTTCGCTGTGATATTCTTACGTTACCATAACGTTTTTTCCACGTCATCAAATGACGTAACGCACACCAAAAAATCACGTCATAATGACGGCATGATATTACATGGGCCACGATCGAATGATGGTAATAAATACATGATGGCGGTTATGGATTATTTCACGAAGTGGGTGGAAGTCTACGCCATTCTAAAGCAAGAGACCACAACTTTATCAAGGATCTCTTTACAATTCTCAAGCAGAATTATTTAAGATTAATTCATTACAGTAAACATTGCTGGAAGTCCTTATACCAGGCGTTCTGATCATCACTAGCATTTGGCGGCTTGGATAAGAAGTTGTCCCACCTACTACGTCTTATAAACCTATTGATTTCAAAGCACATTTCACCTGAAAGGTCCACTGCTGGTAATTGCCACCATCAAACTTATTGAAGCTAGTAGCACCCGCACCTTTTTCGCACATTTCTAAGCAGTCTCTCGACAAACGATAACTTCCTCAACCTATCAGTGGGCCCATAACCTGTTTGATTCGGTTAAATTTTTGTGTATTACACATAAAAAACAGCACTCAGAATAATTTGTTGTTATTATATACTTAATAAACAGTATAAAAGTTTACCAACCGATATAAACTATATACTCGTACAGTACAAAATATAACAAAATATCTATTAATTTTATTCCTTACATTTCAGCTTGTGTTTCGCATGTATTGGAAATAAATGAAAAATTATGAAGGACGCGGAAAACAAACTTGCTAAATTTCATCAATTTATTGTGTTGAAACCTGTTGTATGGTTCTTTTCTGATCAAATTGATTTTCTTCGAACATTAATTTTGTCTATTGAAAACGACTCTCCAGAATTGCCACCACACATTGTGTTTATTTTTCGTTAATTTTCCGTTATTTATGAGCTTCTATCGTTCATTTTTTTGCGCTACACTTTTTCTCTCTTACACCTGATTGGGCATGATTTATGATTGGCAGATTCGCTCTACGAGAGTGGATTCTGTCCATAGTAAAATTGGCCTTCAATAAATTAATTAATGACGTCTTTTTGTGCCGACAACAAAGGCCAACAGCCAACGATGGGGGTACGATTCCATAATCTATGAAGATATCATTAGAGGCGTTTAATTTTCGCAATTAGTTGTTATTGTTGCCGGTTTGTAATTAATGTATCGACATGTCGTCAATGTGATAACGTGCATGCGAGGTGCTATTGTTTGGTTGACTTTGTGCGTTATTACGTGTCATCCCTCAAATCCACGATCAAACTATCCAGTCGATTTGCCACGATTGGCGTTTAGAATAATGTACAATACAAGGAATTAACACTTGTTATATAGCTATTGAGTTCGGATAACTTACTCTCATCATAATAATTATAAAAAAAAGGTTCTAAAATTAATATAATATACATTACTTTTGAAAGTTTATATTGAAAGGTATATAAAAATAGATTATATTATTGAATTAAGTATTAAGTTTTTACGGATCCTATTTTCTATCCTAAAACTGCACAAAATAATAAAAACACTGTTTCACTCAAACCACCCAAGTGGTGAAGAATAATTAAATGGTTTTCTTAATAAAAATGCCAATGAAAATAAAAGGTATGCAACTAATAATGCACCGAACGTAATATTGATTGCGTAGATAAACAATTTTATTCTAAATTCTTCAACCGATCGAAAGCATATATTAATTATTACTATTATGCGAGCCATTTCGTTATTCAGTCATGCTTTATTCCTTCAAGTCCCTCTCCGTCTTATTTGGCCTTTGAGGCTCAACTTTTCCGATTATCATACATAATTAAAACCCTTAACACCAAACATATGTGACTACTATGGCGAAGGCGCTTTCGAGTACATTCCAGATAGAACTTGATAATGTTTCTAGTTTTGGCGGGGAGCATTCTGGAATCCGCCAGAATTTTAAATATGCATATAAATATTGGTGGAGGAACAAACATCACATTGGTGTCAGAAGTGGGATTGGGATCAGTATCTTTCACTATTTGCAATGGCTTATAGATTCGCTGTTAATGAATCAACAGGCCAAACACCAGCAAAGGTACTGTTTGGGCGTGAGATGAGACTACTGTGCGACCTCGAGTTTGGATGCCGACCTAGAGAAGATGCAGCTAGTGAAGATTATGTGATCCAGTAACGAAGAAGAATGAACGATAATCATGAATTGGTCCGTTTGATTTTTCAAATCCCCAGCGACAGGATGAAGAAACGGTACGATACCCAAACTACAGAGGAATGTTTCAAGGAAGGCGAAAAAGTCTGGCTTCATAGCCCAAAAAGACAAAAGGGTTATTCTCCGAAGCTTCAAAGGTCTTGGGAAGGTCCGTACCTCATCAAGAATAAAATGAATGATGTAGTTTATCGTATAAGTAAGATCCCAAACGGTAAATCGAAGGTGATGCATCAAAACAGGCTGGCGCCATTTGAAGGTGATCATGAAGAAAAAGTAAACCAACTTCAAGAAACATCTGATCTTGTCTTTGAAGAATTTATGGGTGCAAATGGAGGTAATGGAAAAGCCAGATATGGTGTTACGACCGAGCAACAACAAGATCTGCTCTCGCTTCCGAAAGACTACTCACTGGTCCATAGTACTTCCGCCAGCATCAACGACGTGCGAGGACTGGCATATGTGTTCCGTAAGCAGTTTGGTCGACTGGTAGAACTTCAATGTCAGTTACCAGCACCTGGAAAAGCCTTGAAACTTCAAGACGGGTCATGTTATCTTTTCTATTTAATAACGAAGAACACCTTCCGAGATCGATCCACCTATCAGGATGTATGAGAAGCATTACTTAGTCTAAGGGAGCACGTACGGGAGTCCAATGTACAGAAACTAGCCATGCCGAAGATAGAAGGTAATCAGCTGGATTGGAGAATCAATAGGAATATGGTGAAAGTAATCTTTCAAAATACCGGAGTTCAAATACTGGTCTGCAGCCATTCGCCCAGTGCCCAGGTTACAGCGAAGACAGTCCCTTGTTACTTCCATGCAACTGGAAATTGTAAAAGAGGATTCAGTTGCAGATACAACCATTCCAGTTAAGTTTCGTAAGAGTTCCAGGAGGAACTATCTCTTAAGGAGGGGGCAACGTAATGTGAGCCATTTCATTATTTAGTCATGCTCTAATCCTCTCTGTCTTATTTGGCCTTTGAGGCTCAACTAGTCCGATTATCATACACAATTAAACCCCTTAAGACTAAACATATGTGACGACTATGGCGAAGGAGCTTTCGATGACTATTCGAGAAAGAACGGGATAATTGGTGAACATTCTAGGACCTTCGCCACACTTTTAAACATTAGTAGATGGATAGTGGTGAATATAAATAGTGAACGATTCAAAGACATTCGAAATATATATAAATTAGAATAGTAGTGTTATAAAACAAATAAGTGTTTAAATAAATTATTAATAAATAAACTATTGTTTCAAATAAACAAACATCAGAGTATTTTAAAAATGCTTCTTTTAGAATATAAAGAACGAAATTATTTGTATTATTTTAGTCATTAAAAATATTTCATTATTATGTGCACTTCTCGTTGACTTTATTTAACTTATCTAAAGTAATTTTTTTTAAATGCATTAAAAATATATACAAAATAACAGCAATAACTGTTTGATCAATATATTTGTAATAACCATTTCTAATTACTAATATTTGTCATTTTTCTTGTTGCAGAGACGAACTAAAATGTACTTTGATTTATTCTGCTAATCTTAATTAGTACGGTTTACCTTTTACTTTTTAAATTATTTGTATTTGGAATCGAAGAATTTACGGTTTCATTGAGAAGATAAAATAATTCCAAAATTTAAATAGAACTAATGAAGAAATTAGTGAGTCAGTGAGTGTGAGTATAATAGTGAGAGTAATTTTTCTGATATTTCGAATTTTCCTCCTCTGACGCCGACTACTTGTCATACTTCACAGAACTTGTGCGCTAAAGCTAAGAAGATATTGAAAACACTGCCTTTTTTACTGGTTTCGCCGAAAAAACAAAGCACCGTATTTTAAACGATAGTGCGAGAGAAAGTATTTTTAAATGGTTTGTATTAAAATGTAACTAGTTGGAGACAAGAATATTTGTTAACAAAAAATACGAAACAATGTGTGACAGATCAAAATATTTTGTTTCCCCCACTTATAAAATTATTAACATTTACATTTTTCGGTCACAATGAATTCGGCTTGGGACTTCGGTGAACCGTAAAGTTTATATTACGCAATAAATATTTAATAATATAATTCCCCACAGTTACTATGTATTTCAAGAACATACCGTTAATCCAAACCGGTCAGTATTAAAAAGAGGCTGTGCCTTTGACAGTATCATTTTCATTCTAAATTAGTATCAGTACCGGTAGATAAAATGGCTGGTAGACGTGGTTATGCGTTGTTAACCTTTCTAAGTGTTGTTTACTTAGTCAAATGCGCTGATATCGGTAAGTAGGATTTCATTTCGATTCATTATAGCTGTCTCCAGTTTTTATACTTATTATTCACTTATTCAGACGTATCTTACACTGTACCTGCATTATTTTGTTAAAGATAAAATGGAAAAGGAAGGAATTGTTCCGGATGTTATTGATAAAGTGCCAGATCAAGTTATACAGGTATGTACTCGTATTATTCAATGAAATGCTTTTCAGAAATGAATTAGTAGAAAGAAAATTAATTGATACAATACCCACGATATAAATTTATCAACATTTCCGTCTATACGTGACTGATTTCTGTATTATTTGCTTCGCAATATAATATGTATATCTAGTACACGACTTTATAATGAGACTACCTAATCCTCGAATTATGGAATTATGGAAATGCCTATTATCTGTGATTCTAAATAATATTTAAATATTCATTTAGTTCTATTATAACTAAGGTAATCCACAAATGGAAAATAGCATGTTGTTCTAAAATACATTTTAGTAGGAAGTAGGAAATTTGTAATTTTCACCATTGAAACGAGAAATATTTTTTGCAATTTTAAAGATTTTCAAGAGAGTTTTAAAAAAAATATATAATGTCTTCGTAAAAATGCTCAGTAAGAAAAAGTAGAAAAAGAAAAGTAAATATACTACAGTGTGAAATATTTTCAAGAAAATAATTAAAAATAATAATACATTTTAATTTAACACTAAAGGAATAAATATATAAGGTAAATGTACCTAAATCAGACAGTTTTAGCGGTTTTGCGGAAGTATTGGACAGTATTATTTTGTTTTTTAAAGTTTTGTTGAGTTAAATATTATTTGCACGCCCAGTCATTTTTTAAAAATTACGTATTCAATTCATATTTCCTCAATTTTGAAGATTAAATAAAAAAAGTGGAGTATTTCTGTTGAACTGCATCTGAACCTAAATTCGACATGTTAAATTTTAGGTTTCAAATAAGTTGTTACTCAAAGTAAGTAAAAGACAAACCATAATTATATGTTTTTAAAAAGTAAAAATATAAAAAAAATATGTTGTATATTCTCGGAAATTGTTTGTTTATGGAACTTTAAAAATACCTCTGATGTTGACTTCTAACGGTACCTCAATTTTATCAACAGTTTCATCATAATCATGCCAAATTTCTTCAAGTTCTTGGGGCCACTTTATTATTTATTTATAGCACTTTATTGCATAAGGATTTTAAGAGGTAAACTTCATTCCTGGAGGTATATTTTCCAATGTCCGCCAGGTCTACCATTGGTAAAGGTTAAGGACTTAACCAATGGGGGTACGCTGTCCAATAACTACGATCTTTAGTTACAGAGAATCATCATTATCAATTTCTTAGCCATTTTTTTTCATCAAATCCGATATCAAATGTCTTCTTGCTTGTTAACACAGAAGAAACACCACTTTTGCACTTTTCTGGAAATTTTCCTCTAATTTTTCCAATAAGTGTGGTAAATTGTTATAGATTTAATATAGAATGGCGTGTTTTTTTTTTAAATACTTTTAATAATTTTCAAAATAAATACTTTTCGAAGGTTTACAAAAAATTCAAAGGTTCTCTACCAAGTTTTGTTATTATTGGAATTTATTGAAAATTTCAGGAAAATAGGACTAAAAATAATTATAAATTTTCGAGGGGTTCGGTTTGCTTTTAAGTATTCACATGATAATTTAACATGGTCTTTTTTCATAAGATGAAAATATGTACATAATTTCGACATCACTGTCGAATTTAGGTTAGTGCATGAATATGAAAATAAAATAGTAAATTAATTCCTTTTAAGAATACCGATTTTTAAAAATGCCCGCTAAGGGTTTAGACCAATGATATCTTTAATATATCGAATTTTGGGTCGGTGTCCAATTTATGTACAGTTACCTTATATATAGATTAAATAAGATTCAATAAAGACATAACATATTCACTAAAGAAAGCCTGTGCTTGAATACAAAATAAAAAATACGGTGTGTCAATTTAAAAACTTCCGATTGGCAATATCGCCTAATAAAAAACTGGTTGAAACAGGTAGGTTTTTTATTCCAAGGGGACAATTTTCTATCATTATCTCAAATGTCATACGTAATGACACATTATTTAAAAAGTAATTTTATGGAGAATTCAGCAATATAATTATTTATTGCGGAACTTTTGATTTTAGTGCTCTTTAGCGGGATAAAAACTGTTATGTATTGTAAAGTGTGATACAACATAACAAAACATATTTAAATAAAATCTAACTGAAATTGGCATATATATTGCTTGTTTTTCTATATGGTACTGTTCACAGTTTAACAGACACCTTAACCTCCGATTTTTAATCAATTTTTTCAGAATCAGTATACTTCATCCTCTTATAGAGCTTGATTTTTCCTGAAGATTTCAAGTTTATATTGTTTTTATTATTTCTGAGTTAGAACTTTTTAATATTTCAACATCCCTTAACCCCCCATTGTTATTTAGAATTTTTTTTTGCCTCAGTGAAAAATAGTACGAACGTGGCTCAATGTAAATATTCCAGACACCTTAATCTCTATTCCCAATTACCAGATTTTTAGATATGATCGAATTGATAGACGAGGAGGGGGAGTATGTATATATGTAGCTCAACATATCTTAGACTGTTTTACAATCTCATCGTAGATATCTCATTTCGTCGTATTGATTATCTTTGTTTGCAGCTGCAACATCTCAATTGCCGTATTTCTCTTGTAGTTATTTACCGTCCGCCAAACACACCTGTTGCTACTGACGCGGCTCTGCTAGACAAACTCGATGTCCTAAGTAGTTCTGAAAATCTGATTATAGTAGGATATTTCAATTTTCCAGACATTAAATGGCCAATTACTTTTATACCTGACACGCAAAATGTTACCAATCAGTTCATGGAATTTATCCACAATTCTAGTTTTGTTCAACTAATAACCCAACCCACGAGATTTAGAATAAATCAGGAACTTTCTACCCTCAATCTACTACTTACCAATGATGAATAACTCTTAACCCCACCGGTGTATCTCCCACGAGTTGGGATATCTAATCATGCAGTTATAACGTGTCGTTTACAATTTCAATCATTCTCTTCTTGCACATCCAATCACACTATCTTCTCACTCACAAATTTGGCTGAAGTTTTTTCCTATTTTGACCAACTAGACTGGATTAATATTATCCCTGAAAACAATGATCCGAGCTTGCATGTAGATTATCTTTCAAAATACGGTTAATGATTGTGTAAAATCTCATACTAAAAACAAAATAAACAGAAGAACAAATCTGAAACTCTAGATAAATTATCAACTGCTGTCTATGGTAAAACATAAGGAACACCTATGGAAAAAATGTAAGTGAACCACCAATATGAACGATTTATCTGCTCATCGACTATTCTTCAATCAACTAAAGGCCGCAGTTATTGAAGCAAAGCATAACTATGTATAAATATGTTAGAATAAATCTGACAGTGTCCGTACCTCTTCTGCAAAAAAAAACGGAGATAAGTGTGCCAACAATACTGAATTTGCTTAACTTCTTTACACCTTCTGTAATCTCTCTACCCTTGAAGATATGACATCACCACTTCCGGATATTTCACTTAACAGAATACAGGCCTCTATTTTCAACGTATCGTTTAACTTAATGTAATATATTGTCTTTGAATTAGACAGAGTGTTGTTATTAAATTGTATTGGTTAAAAGATGTTGGGAAGGAGAATGACATATGGACAAGGTGTTCCCTTTGGAATAAAAATCTACCTGTTCCTAGCAATTTGCTGATTTGATACTCTTTTTTCCATAGGAAATATTACCAATGGGAAGTTTATAAATTGACACTCTGTATATATAAAATATATGCATAAACAAGCATTTAAAATATTAATATAAAATAAAAGTAGTAAAAACATGATTAATAATGTATAAATAATTTTAATATGATGAAAATACAGGAATGTATAAATGGAAGAAGATCCAAGTCAAACATTTTATTTTTTGTAAAATGATTGTCTATTTTTTGCCCCGATGCCTGAAAAATAAATTGCTCTAAATCTTTTAAATTTATTTTAAGTCTTTATATCTTTAAAGGCATCTGGAAATTAGTTATACATTTTACAAGTATTTTTTTGGCAGTATTTCTAAATTCTTTAAAAGCGTCTTTTCTACACTTTCCATGCTAAAATACTATAAGTTGGACGCAATTATATCAAAGATGTGTACAAATATTTTAATTGTTTTAGAATCTAGAATATTTATTAAAATTTGATATTTATGAATTTTTTGTTCCATTTTATATTGTGATGATTACTTATCTATTTTGATGTGAATATGATCATTCATTCTTAAATGTGACAAGATATAATTAAATACAACAAACAAATCTACTCACTCTTTTCTTCTTCATTTCCCCCCTTTGTACTATAGTAATTATTTTCTTCCCCATGGTTCTACATTTTTTACTTCACGAGTAAGTTGGTTGTGTGGTTTTGAATAATTTTATTTGTCGACTGTTTATTTTGTCAAATATTTTTGTAATGTCTTTTCTAATTATTATTTTCAAGCCTGATGATGACCATGCTTAGTCGAAACAACTAATAAAATATTTAAATTTTTAAAAAATTACTATGACCAAAATTATATTTTTCTTGTATTTCATCTAGTTTTAATTAATATTTTTTTAATAGCCGGTGTGTTTCAATTATATGTTTAAGTTAGATAATTAATTTGTTAGGTAGGCATATAGTTTTAGTCAGCACCGATTTTCTAAATTTACCTAGATGGCCTTGCTAAACAATTACACACAGTGACTAGATGTTAATTGTAGGAATGGGAGACGTATTCAAGTAAAAGATAAATTAGGTTTACTTATCTAATATGAATAGAATATTTTAACAAAAACCTTATCAACTGATTTACATTAAACCGCCTGATATGCACAGGCGTACCTATCCTATAAATTTAAAAAAGAAAGAATAAAAAAATTGTTAAAACAATTTAATTTAAAATTAGAAGTTTATTTGTAAAATGTTATACCTAAAATATTTTTATCCGTTTTTATATATTGGTTTTTGCAAGAATTTAATAATAAAAAATGAATACAATTAGTAATGGGAAGCAAATTAATTCAAACTAACATGAATTTAATTCTCTCAGGACTTCCATAGTGCCATTACTAATAAATATTATTTATTGTACACAAACTCAAAATAATACAATACAGAATAAATTATATACTCTCTAAATACCATACAAACATCAAAATGCAAAAATCTTTGCGAATACAAACCAAATAATAATTCTTTCTCAATTAGCCATGCCACCCTGTTTTTACAAACAAACATTCTGAATTACAAAAAAAACTTTGAGCATTGATAAAAACTCTAATTGCATTGTTAAAAAATGTCAGTCTGCTGTTTTTATCACGATATCCAGGACACTTTTTTTAATTGGAGAAATTTCACTTGAATTGAAAATGAACCTAATAAATCAAAAGTTTATTTATATTCAAATTAACTTATTATTTTAATGATTACAGGTTAGTTATCCCAGTGGAGTAAAAGTAGAACTTGGAAATGAATTGACACCAACTCAAGTAAAGGATGAACCTTCCACACTGACATGGACTGCTGATCCCGAAACGTTTTACACGGTGGCAATGGTTGGTAAGTCCTTTTTCAAAATTAGGAACTCATTTCAACAAAACTTTCACCTATTTGACCTCCACGGTACTCTAGCCTTTCGACCGTTAAAGTTTTTGAAGTTTTATGATGGGTTGGGTTTTTCGGGTTTTCCTCACCTGTAAGTTACATGGCACCATCAATCATCTTTAAGTCACCCCGGAGCGCCTCGGCACATAATAATAAGAGCTTCCCTGGACAATCACTCGCAAGGGGGTGAATTAGGGAGAGTATTACTATTATTATAATCCCTGTAAAATTGGCTGTATATACGTGAAACCTTTACACGTAATTTTTCTATAAAAAGAAGTTCAACATCATATTTTTCATTTTAGACCCGGATGCACCAAGCAGACAAGATCCAAAACTTCGTGAGGTACTCCACTGGCTTGTGGGCAACGTGCCTGGTGGTAATATAAAAGATGGTGAATACATAGCAGATTACAGAGGATCAGGTCCACCACAAGGCACGGGTTTACACAGATACGTGTTCCTGGTTTACCAACAAAATGGAAAAATTAATTTTAAGGAAACGAAAATTGATAGTAGGTGAGTAAAATAAACGTTTTTTCCACTGACGTGGTAAATGCTAGTATTGAGATACTCTTATTTCTTAAGAACTCGTCTGGTATACAGACAGGCCCAAAACAGATTACTGTACCCTGTGAAGAGCCTTATAGGCAGCTATGTGAGACATGCTTATGGCATCTTCCAAACATGTGTAACAAAGTCTGCTTTTGTTTATTTATTTATTTATTGTATTTCCTTTTAGGACCAGGACGGGCCGCTTAAACTTTTCTATTAAGAAATATTTGCTGCAGAGTACAGTCTGGGACAACCCATTGCCGGCAACTTTTATCAAGCACAGTTCGATGAATACGTATCCATATTGAGCAGTCAAACCGTCAAATAAACAACTAATTTATAAAAATAATTATTTACGTTCATTTATATTAAACTTGCATGTTTTAATAAATTATTTTTTTTAATACTTATGCATTTAATAAGTCAATTAGATATAATTACCGGGGAGATACTAAAACAACTTTCAAAGCAAACCATAGTTAAACTGACTTATATTTTATTTTATTTTCGACTTATTAATATCTCATTCAGATTAAAGTATGTTGTTAAGATATGGAAAGTGGCAAAGCAGGTAAACCACCATACGTTAAATATTGAGGATAAGTGGTTACGTGTAAAATTATGCGCCCGTATTCTAGCCACGCAATATGAGAACGAAGAGTTTCTGTCAAACGTTATGATTTTTCTGACGAATCACATGTCTCATTATCAGGGCACTCTAACAGTCATAGAGATTGTGTGGATTCCAAGAGGCACCTCTTCACGATGAACGAGTAACTATTTGGTGCGCAGTTCCTGTGCACGGAATTTTGGGTCCTTGCTTCATTGAAGATGAAAAAGGTCACAATTAGCCTGATCAAATGGTAGTTTTTCGATAACATAAAAGCGGTAGAAAGTTTCTCAACGGAATTACATGTTTTTTGGGGTGCTGAAGACGAATCTGAAGTTTGCTGCCTCATAGCAGTGCCGCTTTAGGTGGACAAACGCAAAAATTCTCGAAATTTTCGGAGTTTTTCTGGTTTTCCGCTCATATCATGGAAACGATGCATCGTATGGAAAATATCGTTCTATTCAAAAGTTAAAGAATATAAAATTTTGCGTCGAAAACACCTCCCTAACTTTTAAATTGGACCGATTTATAAGGTCGCTATCGTCAGTTGAAAAAAGTAAATTTTTAGCAACTTTTGTGAAAAACTCGTAGAACACAAGTTGTAAAGCATCAAATTTTGCGTTAAGTCAGCATCAGTTTTCTCAAAGTGTTGAAGTGTCACGGTTTCCAAGATCCCCACAACTTTTGCTTGTGGTACAGTCTTCAGCCGTTTAATCTTTTGACCAGGGGCAACAGCACTTTTTGGGGGTGAGGCATCGGATGATCCCCATTCTATAAAAAGTATTTCTTCCATCATGAGTTTGGATGTTGAAATCAGTATTGTCGTATATCATTTGGCAAAGAATTTGTTGCTTTATAGTCAGAGTAGGGATTATTGATGACACTTCAAATCGAGTTGCTTCGTTATATGTTGCACAAAACCCGAGGGATGACAGGATATCAATCTGTTTTCGCGATCCGTATTTTTGTATAAAAAAGCTGCCAAACCTACTAATCAATATATGTGCAATCGCTACCCATTTTTTCTTCCATGGCTCAAGATTCCCTCGCTTCTTGTTTAGTACCACAGTCTCTATAAACACTCGAAGAGTTTTAGGAATAACATCTTCGACCCCATTTAGAAATTTATCGGTGGCGGGATATTCAGTCACGTCATTTACTTGAGATCTGATATCTTCAACAACTATGACAGCGGCTGCTTCGACTATGTGGCGCCATTCCTCTTTTTCTGCTAATTTCTCCACCTCTTGAAACCAGTTGTCAGTAATTATTTTCTGTCCGATGGCTTTGAAACAAACAACATAAGGTGTTCTTGATGTGACAACAATATCATCGCCAAACGTTTCAAGAAGGTGCCTTCTGACAGTGTACGGGTGAGGTCGAAAGTCGCCTTCAATCTAGTCAATCAATTCCTCCATGGTGAATTGACATTATTACTGTTTGCTAGATAAGAAATAATTGATTATTGCATAGCAGCTTTAACCTCATCAGTGGTTCGTTTGCCCGTTTGAGTTGATTTTCGGACATGGTGTAGATCTCTCATGCAGCGGAAATGGTACTGCGCATCAGCTGCACATAATTCGTCAACTTGCTGAAGACGACGTAATACACTTTGCCCATATTCGTCATTTAGACCTTCCGCAAGTTTCATCACATTTTCTCTCATGGACCATGTTCTCACAGGTTAACCCATATTGCGTTTTGCAGGAGTATGTTTTATCTGTTTCTTATTGTAGTCTGCGGACACTTCATGTCCGCACAAAAAGCAATGAGTTTTAAAAAGAAAGCCCCTTTCTTTTGAACGCGTCTGTTTGGGAACACTTTGTGCAGCTCTATTCAAATAGGCAGCAATAGATTTTTCTGTTACATAATTCTTCCTGCATTTTACGTGGACTTCAATTGAACTTTCCCTCTTAAATATTAGAAACTTGTCACGTACAGTGGCGTTTTCAAATCACAGTCGTCTAAAAGTGAGTTTATTGCAGTTTACACAAAAGTTTGCGAAACTCCTTTATATTGGTCAAATATGAGCTTAGAGGGAAAATGAAGAATTTATCAGTATATGCGTATATACTGATCCAAATTTAAAATTTAGATGCTCACTGAACGCAAAATTGGATGCTTTACAACTTTTGTTCTACGAGTTTTTCACGTAGAGTGGCTGTTTTCACAGACGTACGTCTAAAGGTGAGTATCTTGCAGTTTTCACAAAAGTTGCTAAAAATTGGCTTTTTTCGACTGACGATGGCGACCTTATAAATCGGTCTAATTTGAAAGTTAGGAAGGTTTTTCGACGCATAATGTTATGCTCTTCAACTTTGAATAGTATGACATTTTCAGTACGATTCATCGTTTCCATTATATGGGCGTTTTTTGACCTGAAGCGGCACTGCTACGAGGCAGCAAACTTCAGATTCGTGTTCAGCACCTCAAAAAATATATAATTTTGTTAAGAAACCTTCTACCGCACTCATGTTACGAAACAGGCACTTTTGAACACCATTTGATCAGACTAAATATATCAGTGAATCAAGAAAGATATAGGCAACAGATCGAATTATTTGTTAGAAAACAGTTCTAGAATAGAAAACAGCAATATAACAATTTTTTTCAAAATTTACGACAGCCTCTATTTAGTATCCAATCTTCAGCAACGCTTGTAATTATGCTTGTGGTCATGTAGAGCCTACCATACATCAATAATTATTACCTTTGTATGGATACACAATTCTAGTTTGATATCTTAATAATAAATTCATTTTTTAGTTTCAGAATCCTTTATTTATTGTGGCATATATTTCGAGTTTCATTTATATCATAGAAGATGATCACATTTGATTAATAAATTATTAATAAGGCAAGCCTTTCAATGGAAATAGAAGTAAGACACTTTTTCTGAAAGGTATATCAAATACAAGCAATAAAAACTTATTAAAGAAACAAAAAATAATGGAGAGAGTGGAGCTGGAAGGAAATTGTATAATTTTAAGATAAAGTAACAATATTAGAAACTCATCAAGTGCATGAGAAAGCGGAGAGCAAGGAAATGTACAAATAATAAAATTATAAATTACTTATATCCTTTGCATAATTCAATATTTTCAAATTAAGTTTCATTATATTTACATAATTTAGATTTCACGCTGTCACAGATAATTAAATCAGTAGAACTTTTCTCATTACCATTCGACTTCACTCCGACTTGTGTGTTTGATCGAGAAAATTACCTTTTGCCTAATAACAATCATGGTGTGCTCTGCCGGTGCTAAGCCCGTGCATCACGTTGTTCAACTGTCACAAACGAGTTCGGAGGACTTACTTCCGGTTTCAAATTACCGATCTATAAGTTCCCAATTGTGGATTCTACTGTGAACTCATTCGCCGATAATGCCAATTCTTATCAGACGATCAACTCGAAATGATGACTAAGAGGCTCATGTCTTTTACTTTTAATGTTCCACTGGAACAATGAATGCAAGTGTTGAAAGCTACTTTTAGGGGAGAATGGTGTAAGTTGCCACATTATTTTAATACCACTATAGAACGAATAAGAATAAAAATTAGATAATAAATGAAGCAGCATCAAAAAGCATTAAAATAGGAAAATATATACATATACAAGACGAAAAAATTATGTGGAACAGTTAGAACTTGAGACAGAAAACTTGAAATGGTAGAAAAAATAGGAAAAAAATATCTACAAAACAATAATCATACCAATATTACTGTACGCAGTAGAAACAAAGCATGACAAAAAAGAAGAGGAAGATCTAATAATTATGGAATGAAAAATTATACGAGCAATATATAGGACCAATTAAAATCAAAGAAGAAGAATACACGATAAGAAGACATGAGGAAATAAACAAGAGCTAAAACAGGCCATAATAACAAAAATAAAAATACAGAGTCAGATAGGTAGGACCCGCTTGGAGAGCAGGATATAGAAGATTGGTATATTCAATGTCACAATGGCACCTAGGAGGGAGAAGTAGTTGTGAAAGAATCATATAAGGATTTCTGAAGAAAGTGAAAAGAAGGACAGAAGTGAATAATTCGCAAGAACAAGTACAAGATAGAGAAAATAGACGGACATTGTAAAGAGTATTAATCTAAGAGACTGGGATTAATATATACAAAATATAGTTATTACATAGAAAGAATAATGGGGGAAACATTGACGATGAGAAAAAACAACAAGGATAATAGAACTAGATGAGAAGAACAAATTATGAATAAGAAAAATTGCGAATGAAGATATGTTGAAAACCCTTCAAAACCACAGAGCTTGGCTGCAAGAATGAATGGAGCCAAGAATTCATTGTGTTTGCAACCGAAAGGCATGTTGAGTGATAGACGGATAGTTTCAAAACCACAAAAGGATCTGGAATGGGAGTAAATGGGTCTAGAGCCCCCCTGACAGTTTGGGCGAATACCCAAGAATCTTTTAGGCACCATTGAGAAGTATATCTAGTTCAACATAGAGAAAAACTATAGCAGACAAGAGATAGCCAAGTGGTCATTGAGGCGCTGAGCTCTTCAGCTCAAAAATCGTCTAGAGACGCCTAGAAAAACTAAATGAGATAGGCGATAACTTGGGTCCCAGGACATAACAGTGCAAAGAGTAACGAGATTGTAGATAGTCTCGCAAGAAAAGGGACTCAAACAACCTCTATAGGACCTAAGCCGTTCTGCGGTATCAGCAGTAACACAATATTAAAAGAGATTAAAAACGAATTGGGCAGTAAATAAAGTGATAATTGAAACAATTTCTTGGGGCTAAGATATGCTAAGATACTGCTTGGTGAATTTAACCAGAAATGATTGTAAGTCTGTATCTGCAGGCAAAAACAGGTTACATATTGCAATAGGAATCCTTTAACTTCCTTGAGAAGATAATATTTAAATGGTCATCAAGATTATTTCCTTGCTGAATTAGCGACAGAAGAGAGTACAATAGATCTTTTAGGTCATATTGTATTGATACCTCATACCCAACACAACAGAAGATATGGTGAAGAAAATTAACAGATATCTAAAGCTTTTTAAAGTCAAGGTAACCATTGTATTTCTTGACGACCTAATGTCAAATGTCATAAAATAGATTTTCATTAAGTAGGTGCAAGTATCTATTAATGATATGCTGGTATAAATTAACGCAAATAATTACAGAAATCTTTATAATAGTGTCAGTGTAGTTCAAACAGAGCTAACGAGGATTCTTATAGCAGTAAAAGAAACCACCAGAAAAAATATCAATGGAAGGAACATGCTTATCTATACAGATAGCAGACAAGTATTACTCAACTTAAACAGACCAAGAATTTACTCAGGGTTAGTACTAGAATGTCACGAAGCTTTGGCCGAAGTATCCATCAACAATGTGGTTACTTTAATACGGATCAAAGGTCACACCACATCAAAAGGTAACCGTCTTCTTGATTCACTAGCCAAAAAATCAGCCAACCAAACACTTTTTGGACCTTTTATTGGCCTTACAAAAAAGGTAGTGACAGACCTAATTAAAGAACATTCCCTTGTGACATTTAAGGAAAGATGGGATGAAACAAGGAACTGCAGAGTTGCCAGGGAGCTCTTAAGTTATCCTGACAACACTGCAGTAAACAAATACTTGACTATGACTAGACAGAATCTGCGCCTAGTCAAAGGCATTCTGACTGATCGTTGCCAAGTACGGAAGCATCTCCATATCATGTGGATGTCAGAATCCGCACTCTGCAGAGGGTGCGAACAAGAAGATAAGACCATTAAGCATATCCTTTACGATTGCTCAACGCTCATGTATTAGAAGATTTGTGTTCGGCGAGTATCGGCTAACACCGGCCGATATAAGAGAAGCACCTCTTGGCGACGTTGTCAACTACAATAATTCTGTAGGCTGGCTCATGAGCTAGAAGGTGCCTATCATCTTAGGAGGATGTACAATGCGCCTAGTGAGGCCTAAGTGCCGTGGGGGGTAACCCATTCTCCACACGTTACAGATACAGAAATCTTTAATTGTGAAGTCCCACCTATTAGGTGTTGGTGCGAATTACAAACAGGTTAGCCACTGAAGAAAATATAAAAAATAGACCAGGATATCAAACCCAATTTTTTATCGATTGCTGGAATTTTATCAAACAAAACAAACATTCGTAAAGTGTTGTTGCGAGCTATTTGATTTATAACAGCAAAATGGTATGCCGATTAGATGTCATAAACGCATTTAACGGAATATGAATATCAAGTGTAAGGTAAGTGTTTCATTAATAATAACCATAAAAGTACATTCATAGAAGCTCGTACATGCGAATGATATGCCATATGTATTTATGATATAAAGGCCTATCTAACGTGATAAATAGCATGTGCATAGCATGTGATTATTCCAAAAATGTTATGTACTGCACTTGCAAAACGTGTGAAAATTTTTACTGTGACGGCACCTTTAAGATGAAATAAAATTGGGTAATTTTAAAGGAGTAGTTTTTATTAAAAATAACAAATTTTTCAATCTTCATTTCTAAGACGACCTAAGTTATTCCTACATCTTTAATTTGGCTGAAAATAGGATTCTTAAAGGATTTAAATATTTAAAACTATTTCATGAAGAAAGTGATATACTTCATAATTTCATGGGTGATAGGTCTAAATTAATTCCACATT